ACGTTATAATGAGTCACGGAGGCCGATAAAGTGTCATTTCTGTACCTCGTTTTTGGAGCATCGTGCGCGGATCCAGCGGTAATCTCGCCCGGAGTCGCTCCTCGTCGTACTGCAGAAGCGACTGTTCCAACAGCGCCAGGCCCTTAGACATTTTCGCCCGGTTTCTGCGCAGATTTGCAGCTTTTTTGTGGAATTTGGAGCGACTTTGCTACATAACAATTACCGGAAGACACGCAGCGAGCCCCGGAGCTTCTGCGCTGGCCGAGGCTGCAGAGACGCGGGGCGGCGCGGGGGAGAGGCGCCACCTGCTGGTCACATGAGGGACTGCACCAACAAACAGGGGACACTTGGAAAGATTTAACACGTGCTGCTGACAGTGTATGGGAGTAACGAATTACATGTACCGGAGTTATGTAATCAGAGTACAATTTATGAGTAACTGTATTCAGTTACAGTTACTGTTTCAGTGAGTGGTAATTGGATTACAGTTACTTTGTTGAAATAAATGGATTACACGGCGGGATTTTCCTGTTTTCACATTTTGGGCTAAACCAGGACTAAAACTAGGATTAAACCAGGACTAAACCAGGTCTAAAACCAGGACTAAACCAGGTCTAAAACCTGGACTAAACCAGGACTAAAACCTGGACTAAACCAGGACTAAAACCTGGACTAAACCAGAACTAAAACCTGGACTAAACTAGGACTAAAACCAGAACTAAAACCAGGACTAAATCAGGACTAATCTAGGACTAAACCAGGACTAAACCAGGTCTAAAACCAGGTCTAAACTAGTACTAAAACCTGGACTAAACCAGGACTAAAACCAGGACTAAACCAGGTCTAAAACCAGGTCTAAACTAAAACCTGGACTAAACCTGGACTAAACCAGGACTAAACTAGGATTAAACCTGGACTAAACCATGTCTAAACCAGGTCTAAAACAAAGACTAAACCCAGACTAAACTAGAAATAAAACCAGGTCTAAACTAGGACTAAACTAACACAATATGACACTAACAGTAGGATGGACATAACTGAAGTCAGCAGTGATCTCATATAAAAAGCATTTCTCTATCAATAATATTTTTAAAGTGCAATTCAACAGACCGAGCTACAAACAGAAACTGTAAACAGGTAGGTGTGTTAATAGTTCGTGGTTTCAGTGTAGTTCCTCCTTCTGGCAAGTCTGACCAAACCTGAAGAAGCAGCTTGGATGAGCTGCGAAACGTATTTGACCTAATAAACTTTTGTCCAGTTGACAAATTGCGTTTTTCCAAAGATTTAACATGTGCTGATGTGAGTAAAACCCCTCAGTCGTTCATGTAGAATCCATGGCAAAGTAGAAATTCAATTTGCCAACTGGACAAAAGTTTAGTCCAATGAGGTTCATTTAGTCTTTCGATAATTTATGTTATTAGGTTCTTTTTTCAGACCTGACAGTTTCGACTGCTCCACAGAGTCACGTGATGTTTCTGGTTTTGCAGACCTGCAGTCCCACTTCCTCAGGACAGAATCCCAGGTGTGTGTGAGAGTAAAAAAGCCCCTCGTCCCGGTTTATCGTCCTCTGGGCACGTTTCCGTATTTCGAACTGCAGGTGGCGCTGTCGTCCTGCCTCCACCGGTAGGAAGACAGCGCCAAAAACTTTTTAAATCAGCTGAGCGACACGGCACAGAAACATCATGTGACTCTGAGGAAGGGCGCAGGGAGCAGAACAAACTGTCAGAAAACAAACTCTTGGTCTGAGAAAACACCCTAAGAACATGGACAAAAGTTTATTTTGGATGAATACATTTACAACTCCATCCTCAGACCTAAATCAAAACAAACTAAGAGAACAACAGGGACAGTCGAGTCAGGTCCAGAGGTGTGAAAGCTCCATCATGGCCCTAAATGATTCATTCTGCTGATATGACCCCAAACTCAGTGCAGGTCAATAGACCGAGCTACAAACAGAAACTGTAAACAAATAGGTGTGTTAGTTTCAGAGTAGTTTCAGTGTAGTTAGATCCTCCCTTCAGGCAGATCTGAATAAACCAAAAATGTTCATTTTGTCTTATATACATTAACTTCTTGGGTTCTTTTTAAAGACAATACAGTAAAGTGTGTTTACCTTGTTGACATGATTCAGCTGCTGCTGCTGCATCTTCACAACTGTCACCGGTGTTGGTGGTGATGTGTCGTATATCAGCTTTTGTTACTTCCTTGCAGCAGCAGCCGAAACATGTCAACAAGGTAAACACACTTTACTGCATTGTCTTTAAAAAGAACCCAAGAAGTTAAAGATCTGATCAAAACTGAAGAAGCAGCTTGGATGAGCTGCAAAACTCTGCTGATACTAACCCTAACCCTCTCAGTGCAGTTCAATAGACCGAGCTACAAACTGTGAACAAGTAGGTGTGTTAGTTTCAGAGTAGTTTCAGTGTAGTTAGCTCCTCCCTGCAGACAGATCTGACCAAAACTGAAGAAGCAGCTTGGATGAGCGGCAAAACGTATTTGACTAAATAAACTTTTGTCCAGCTGACAAATTGCATTTTGTCAAAAATTTAACATGTGCTGAAGTGAGTAAAATCCCTCAGTTGTCCAGGTAGAATCCATGGCAAAGTAGAAATTCAATTTATCACCTGGACAAAAGTTTATTTGGTCACATACATTTACAACTCCATCCTCAGATCTAAATCAAAACTAAGAAAACAACAAGGATAGTCGGGTCAGGTCCAGAGGTGTGAAAGCTCCATTATGGAATGAATAGGCTGAACTACAAACAGAAACTGTAAACAAATAGGCGTGTTAGTTTCAGAGTAGTTTCAGTGTAGTTAGCTCCTCCCTGCAAGCAGATCTAAATAAAAAAATAAAATAATAGGTGACTAATTATTCTAACATTAATTCCACTGATTGTCATTTGGTCTGTAAGTTTTATTATATTTTTATTTTGTACAGGTACAGACTGAAAACACTGCAGAACGTAACTTCTAAACAAAGTCATCACAAATAAATTATAAAAAAAATAAAGTTAAATTAAACAAATGATTTTTTTTCATAGGTAAACTGCAGGTGTCTCGTTGATTTGAGCTCAGGAGGCAGAAGTTAAATCACATTTTAAAAGTGCATTGGTTTTATTGTTTTGTCCCAGTTAAACATCGACGTGTGTGTTAAATCTATTAGATCTGTGTCTTTTATTTATTTTTTATGTATTGTATTAGTTTTATTTATTGCTATTCTATGGTTTTGCTCTTCTTTAAAAAAAAAAAAAAGGAAGAAAACTGAGTCTAAATGTGCAGGGTTTATGTGAATGAAACAAAACACAACTCCAGGCCTGTTTGTGATGAAGAAACTACATTATAGCACACAGTGTTGTGGAGTAACAGATTACATGTACCAGAGTTATGTAATCAGAGTACAAATTATGAGTAACTGTATTCAGTTACAGTTACAGTTTCAGTGAGTGGTAATTGGATTACAGTTACTTTGTTGAAATAAATGGATTACATGGTGGTATGTTCCTGTTTTCACATTTTGGGCTATATCCCTTTTTTTTCTCGGTAATTCTGAAACTAAAGCAGGTCTAAACTAGATCTAAACTAGGTCTAAACCAGGTCTGAAACCAGGTCTAAAACCAGGTCCAAACCAGTTCTAAATCAGGTCTAAAACAGGATTTAACAGGACTAAATCCTGCTGTGTGGACGTGTTTCTTCGTTTTCTATCAATAATATTTTTTAATTTGGTTCAGTAAAATCTGGGCTTTTTATTTTCTTTTATCAGACAAAACTTCTTATGTGAAGATTTCCTCGTCTTTGCTTCTCTACAGAAAATCAAGTAATCCAAAGTAATCAGATTACATTACTCACTTTAAGTAATTTAATGGATTCCGTTACAAACTACATTTTGGTGTATGTAATCTGTAATCTGTAGGGGATTACATTTTAAAAGTAACTTCCCAACACTGATAGCACATACAAAAACTGCATAAAATAGGCCCTTTAAATTAGAGAGAACAGGTTTTCAGAATGAAAAACTCGGACACACACGAGTTGGGACGGTTGGTATAAATAAAATTGTGAAAAGAGCACGCAACATTGTCCATTCTCGACTCACACGTGTCAGTCAAAATCTGAGGGACACTTTTTAAAATCATTTTTATGGTCATTTTCAAGCATGTTTTCTATATTTTAGCTAAACAAATGACAATATATCCCCCTCTTTACTGTTGGTGGGGATCAAATTGGTCAAAAATGGGAACATCTGGGATATTTCTTGTATAAATCTGCTGGGACCGGGGACACAGGGCTCAAAATCTGAGGTGATACAGTTTGGGGCCAGCAGTTCCCTCACTGATGTGGGGCCCCTCAAAAATGACGTTCGTCCCACAGTCACCAACCTCGGCGTCGCCTTAGACAGTGATTTCAAATTTGACAAACAGATCAACAATGTTTTAAAATCAAGTTAAACCTTTTTTATCTTTTAAACTTTTTGAACAAGTTAGTCACGCTTTTATTTCATCACGTCTGGACGACTGTAACTTTATTCCGGCATTTCGCAAAACGCACTTTACCAATGACAGTGAGTCCAAAACTCTGTAGCGCGACTTTTAACAGGAACAAAAAGGAGAGAGCACATCACCCCAATCCTCGCGTCTTTGCTCTGGCTTCCTGTTCATTTTAGACTTGATTTTAAGATTTTATTGTTTGTTTTTAAAGCTTTGAATGTTCTAGCCCCACAGTACGTCTCGGACCTCATCCAGATTTACACCCCCCAGGAGCGCTCTGAGGTCTGAGGTCCAGCTCCGGCTCGAGGGGCCTAAGACGAGACTTAAAACCAGGGGGGACAGAACCTTCTCTGAGGTCGGCCCTCTGGAACGCTCTGGAACTCTCTGAAACACTCTGAAACGCTCTGAAACGCTGTGGAACGCTGTGGAACGCTCTGAAACGCAGTGGAACGCTCTGAAACGCATTGGAATGCTCTGAAACACTCTGAAACGCTCTGAAACGCTGGAACTCTGAAACGCTCTGAAACGCTGTGGAATGCTGTGAAACGCTCTGGAACACTCTGAAATGTTCTGGAACACTCTGGAACTCTCTGAAACACTCTGGAACGCTCTGCCACTCCACGTTCGAACAGCCCCCACTGTGGAGAGTTTTAAGTCTCGTCTTAAGACCCACTTTTATTCTCCGGCGTGAGTCCTGTGCTCCTCTGTGTTTTTTATTTATTTTTGTGTGTTTTTATTGGTTTTATTGATTTAATTTATTTATTGGTTTATTTTATTTCTATTGTATAATTTTGTTTTATTTTTAATTTACTGGTTTTATTATTTCAGTAGTTTATTTTATCATCTTATCTTATTATTGTTGTTATTATGATGTATTTGTGCAGCACTTTGGAAACTGTTTGTTTGTGAAATGTGCGACAGAAATAAAGTGGATTGGAGGATTGGATTGGAAAATTGGGACATGCGATCACCCCACTTTACGTCCTCAAAGTGAAACCTATTGTATCACTTGACTGGTGATGTCTCCCTCCTCTAAGTGAAGACTCATGTGTTTTTTCAGACAGTATTTTTCTTTGTAGCACTTCCCGCAGACCAAACACACGAAAGGTTTCTCCCCCGTGTGCTTCCTCATGTGAGACTCCAAATAAGGCTTCTGCACAAACCCCTTCGGACAGAGCGAACACTTGTACGGTTTGTCCTCGCTGTGCATAGACAGGACGTGCCTCATCAGGGAATTCTGCTGTCGGAAGCTCTTGCCACACTCCGTGCAGCTGTAAGGTTTTTCCCCCGTGTGGATTCTCATGTGGTCCTTGACGTGGCACCTCTGGAGGAAGCCGCGTCCGCACACTGGGCATTTGTGCGGTTTGTCTCTCCGTTCCGTGTGGGAGAGTAAATGCGTTTTGTAATTCGATTTGGAGCTGAAAACCTTGTTGCAGACTTGGCACGTGAACGGGCCTGGGTGAAACTCCAGATGTTTTTCGAGCGATTCCATGTTTTTAAAAGTCTTGTAACACAAAGTACATTTAGGTAGTTGGTCCTTACTTTCGTCGCGATTAAAACTATTATCACAGCTTACGTTATTTTCCGCTGAATCTTTCTTAAAACCTGCGTTAGGTCCTTTCCCGTTGCTTTTGGTCATTTCCTCAGCCCACTCGTCTGAATCGTCCGTGTCTGAACAGCTGAAAGGGCTTCGGTTATCGTCCAAACTCAGATCGTTGTTGCTGCAGCCGGGCTCCTCTCCGTCGCGTCGCTCTCCGCTCTGGTCCGGTCCGGTCTCTTCAGCTGGGGTCGGATACTGGAGTGGGATCGGTCGGTTCACGTCCTGCTCGATTTTGATGCGCTCCTCCTCGATAACTTGGTCGGAGCGGATTTCTTCGCCCACGGTCACAGTCTGGATGTCTGTAAGAAGAGAAGAAGGGTCAATTGAGTATGTAGAAAACTTTGTCGTTTTAAGTTCAAGCGACTCAACGCGTGTTCAGCTCATGATGTGAAGCTCGAAATGACGTTTAAAGCAACCATAAGAATCCGTGTATCATTCATTCATTCATTTTTCAATATAAAACCAAAAATAAGAAAACGAAAAAACAATTGTCTTCATTATTTGTCTCCAAAACCAAAATGAAAAAACAGATAACGATTCGTTTTTTTCTGTTTTAAATGTTGTAAATGAAGTGGAACTGTAGGTGGCGCTGTCGTCCTGCCTCCCCCAGGAGGAAAACAGCGCCCAAACCTGTTTAAATCAGCTGAGCGACACGTCACAGCAACATCACGAGACTCTGAGGAGCCGTCCAAACTGTCAGGATGAAAACAAACTCTTGGTCTGAAAAAAAGAACCTAATAACATACAAAAAAGGCAATTTGTAAAGACTGCAGGCGCCGACAGTGACGTTTTGCTGGTGTTTTTGAGGAGGCCATGATGGACGAGTGAGACTGAAATGTTTGTTTCTGCACGAGTGAAAAATCTACAGGCTCGATTAAGAATTTTACAGTACAGTTTTATCTGCAAACTAAACAAATCAGATCATGAAATAATAAAGTCACTCATAAATCTGAGCTTCAGTGCAATACAACGTGAGTCCAGCAGGTGGAGCCACTGTTATGTGTCTTTAAAAACAAACGTTTATTGTTTTGTGTTGTCACTGTCACTGCGTACTACTACTACTACTATGTACTACTCTTACTGTACTACTACTGCTTATAACAATAACATGTACTACTACTATGTACTACTGTTACTGTACTATTACTACTGCTTATTATAACATGTACTACTACTATGTACTACTGTTACTGTACTACTATTACTACTACTGCTTATAACAATAACATGTACTACTACTATGTACTACTATTACTGCTACTGCTTATAATAATAACATGTACTACTACGATGTACGTAATACTACTAGTACTGTATTATTACTACTACTACTACTGTACTTCTACAACTATTACTGTACTACTACCATTACTGTATTGCTACTACTATTACAACTTATAATAATATGTACTACTACTATGTACACACTACTACTAATATGCACTACAATCACTGCACTACTGTAATACTGCTACTACTGTATTATTATTACTATTACTGATGTAGTACTACTATTATTACTACACTATTACTATTGTACAACAACCCTACTACTACTACTACTTATATGTACTATTACTGCACTATTCCTACTCCTACTACTACTCTATTGTTATTACTGATGTACTTTTGCAATTATTACTGCACTAGTACTACTGTACTAGCATTACTGTATTACTACTACTACTGCGCAACTACTATATATGTACTACTCTTACTGTACTATTACAATTTTTACTGTACTATTACTACTCTACAACTACCGTACTACTACTGCTACTACTGCTACTACTACTACTGCTACTATACTACTGCTACTATTACTACTACTACTACTACTACGACTACTGCTGCTACTATTACTATTACTACTACTGCTACTTTTACTACTACTACTACTGCTACTACTATTACTATTACTGCTACTACTACTTACTACTTACTACTACTGCTACTACTTACTACTACTACTACTACTGCTACTACTATTACTATTACTGCTACTACTACTGTTACTACTACTACTACTGCTGCTGTTACTACTACTACTACTGCTCCTACTCCTACTACTACTACTACTACTACTACTACTACTACTATTACTGCTACTACTACTGCTGCTATTACTACTACTACCACTACTACTACTACTACTACTACTACTACTCCTACTACTACTACTGCTCCTACTACTACTACTACTACCACTACTACTACTAGAGTAAAGAATAAAAGTATTAGACTCGTGTGTTTGTGTCGCTCGTGCAGACCTTCACCTTCTCTGTGCAAAGCGCCTCGCGGTTGTTGCAGGATTTTTGTCCGCAGAACCTCCTCTTCATATTGCGCAAACGTTCGTTCGAAAAGCGCAAAAATCTCGTCCGCGGCCGCAGCGAGTCTCTCCAGCACGAGCCCCCGCAGAGCGCGCACTTTCACGGACATTTTCCACGAATATTTCCCCAAAACGAGTCGCTTCCTGCAAACGTCAAAACCCGGAACAAAACCCGAAACAGCTCCGTGCGTCACGTGCGTGCGGACCGCGTGAGCGGAGCAGTGGCGCCCCCTGCCGCACGTGCACCTCAGGGTCAACGGGTTCATCTTTTACCAGGGTTGGAGGTTAATAAAGTACAAAAGTAAAAGTACATTTTGTAGTTATCTGTACTTTACTTACGTCATTTTGTCCGTAGATACTTTTTACTTTTACTTCACCACGTTTGAGCGCAGGTATTTGTACTTTTTACTGCACATTCTGATCTACATGTTAGATCTGGAGTCTGGAGTGAAAAGTAAAAAGTACTTTTCATTACGGTTTGAGATCTTCTGAAATGGCTGAAACGGATTTTTTTTAAAAGTGCATTTAATTTGAGTTTCAGACACAACTTTGAGCAAAACAAAAACTACTACTACAGTACTAGTGTTACTACTACTGTACTACTACCATTACTGCATTGCTACTACTGCTGTTACTGTATTAGTATTATTACTACTACTACTACTATTGCTCCTACTACTACTACTGCTCCTACTACTACTACTACTATTGCTCCTACTCCTCCTACTACTACTACTACTGCTCCTACTACTACTACTACTGCTCCTACTGTTCCTACTACTACTACTGCTACTACTCCTACTACTACTATTATACTATTACTAGTAGTAGTAGTAGTAGTAGTAGTAGTAGTCAGAAGGGCGACACAACGAGCATGAACCACCGACATTATTTTTAAGAAGAATAAACGTTTAGTAGCCAGGCCAGCGCCCCCTAGTGCCTCCACTCAATTTAATTTCTCTCCAGTGACTCGGTCAGGAATCAGAAAACACTAGACCAGGAGAGTCAAACTCACATCACAGAGACCGAAAATTAAAAACTGGGACTAAGTCGTGGGCCAAAGTAAATATTTATTGAAAAATTTCAACAACATCTGCATGATTTCTCTTCTTTTGAGATATGTAATGCTAAACCTTTTCTTATTCAAATAAATGTTTAATAATATTATGCTTAAACTTTGAACCAAAATATTAAAAAGAAAATTCTCTCTAAAAAAAAAAAAAAAAAAAAAAAAAAAATCTATAAAATCTGAGCGCGGGAAAGCTCTAATACAGATTTTATATGATCTCACGGGCCAAATATAATTATATCGTGGGTCAAATTTGGTCCCCGGGCCTGAGTTTGACATGTCTGCACTAGACGGTTCGCAAAAACCCCGGAAGTGCGAGTTCAGGCATCAGCCAATCAGAGAAGAGACAGACATTCAGTGTTGTCAACGATTCCCGAGATTGAGGATTTAAAGCCGGAACAAAGAAAATGTTTGGTGAATTTTATCAAAGTAAAAGACGTTATTGTTCTTCTTCCTACAGGATTTTGGAAAAGCTTAATATTCCAGTTAGTCCTGTCAACAGAGCATTACATACGTCACGACCAAACAGCAGCGATTGGTTAAATAAAAAAAGTCCCCGCCTACTGTCGAGCGAACGAATCCTAACGCTGCGAGGTCACACAGTTTGTACGAAGAAGGCTACTGGTTTACATGATCGAAAAATAAATTAATTCGGCTTTAAAATCAGAATAAACCACCCACTTACTTCAGAATTCAGAAGTTTAATTCTGGATAATATTTTTTTTATTAGGAATTAAGTGTTTACATGGTCTTTTTAAAGCAGAATTAATTTAATTCTGAATAAAAATGATTTAAATTCGGAATTAAAGCTCTCATGTAAACGTGGCTAATATATCTGTGTGATCCCTCAGTGGTTCATTGGTGTATTTTAGTCTCTGTGCTCAAATACTAGTTCTGATCCAGCTCCAGATCTTTCAGGAAAGGCCTGACCACAGACTGGACGCCCGAATGGTCTCCGAATGGTGCTTCCTCATGTGAGCACCGAAGTGTTTATTTTCGACGAAGCCTTTCTGACAGACGGGGCAGGAGTAGGGCTTCTCTTTACTGTGCTGTGACAACACGTGTCTAATGATCGCGTTCTTGTGTCTGAACTTCCTCCCGCAGTCCGAACAGCTGAAGGGTCTCTCTCCCGTGTGAATCCTCGTGTGCTCCTCGAAATTCTGCCGCCGCACGAAACCGCGGTCACAGAACGAACACATGAACGGTTTCTTCTCGCTGTGGAGGTGGAGATGCTTTCTGAAACTCGACCTGGTGGAGTAACCTTTGTTGCAGATTTGACAAATGAATTCTTTTTTCCTCGCGTGTCTCGGGACGTGTTTCTGTAAAGCTTCTGCGCTTTTAAAGACCTTGCAGCACTGAGGACATCGAAGAGTTTGGTCCAGAGACGTCCCTCCGTAATTTACTACAGCGTTACTACTAAAAATATGATCACAGCTGACCACACGTAGATGATTTTCTGCAGAATCTTTCACAAGACTTGGGTTAAGCTCTTGTCCGCCACATTTGCTCGTTTCCTCTGCCCAGTCGGCTGAATCGTCCGTGTCTGAACAGCTGTAAGGTCTTTTGTTGTCGTCCAAACGGGGGTCCACGCTGTGGCCGGGCTCCTCTCCATCGCACTGTTCTCTGGTTAAATTTCCCGCCTGTCTTTCCCGCTCATCGGCCGGGTCTGGTTCTTTAGGTTTCCGAGAGGGGGAAGGACATTCGAGTTTGACGGACGGTGGATTCACGTCTTGCTTTGGGCTGGCTGGTTCCTCCTTCACAACTCGGTCGGAGCAGATTTCCACACTCACGTTTACCGACCGGATCTCTGGAGGAGAGAAGAGAGAATGAAACATGAACAGTGTCTTTGCTTTGGAGATAATTACAATTAACTGAAGTAGAGAAAGAGACGGCAACTAAAAAGAAATCGCTATTTGTTTTTTCATTTTGGTTTTGGGGACAAATAATGAAGAAAACAGTTGTTTTTCCCTTTTTCTAATTTCGGTTTTATTTTGAAAAACAAATGAACAAATGACACACAGATTCCAGACGTCCCTATTTACCCGGGACAGTCCCTGTTTTGAGCGTGTGTCACATTTATACAAATTTTATACTGATTTATACTGAACCACTTGTCCCAGTTTTATACAAGAAATGCCCCAGGTGTCTCTATTTTTGACCAATCTGATCCCTGAACAGTAAAAAGACTCATATATTCACATTTGTTCAGCTAAAATTCTAAAAAGTTGCTTTAAAATGACCAAAACACAAAGCAGTCACGCATGAGTCACGAGTGTTTCTGCAGAACAATTTTCCTTAATTCCGGACTCGTTTCACAATTTTATTATGACCAACCAGCAATAAAACGGGGCTGTCCCTGTTTTTTTTATTTTGAAAATCTGGTCAGCCTACCTTTAATACTTTTTTTTTCCTTCTGGTGGGATAAACTGGAGAAGTATTTCCATTGCCCCAAAGTTTTTCTGTGTCTGTATTTTTGTCCTGAGACTCTAGAACCACAGACTCACACACAGCAGAAACAAACCGTGCGTAAAACCCGTTCCTCACCGTGTTGCTCGTGCAGATCTTTACCTTCATCTCGAGGTTGTTGCGCCAATTTGGACCGCAGAATCTCCTCTTCATATTGCGCAAACGTGCGTTCAAAAAGCGCAAAAATCTCGTCCGCGGCCGCAGAGAGTCTGTCCAGCACGAGCCCCCTCAGAGCGCGCACTTTCACGGACATTTTCCCACAGATTTATTTATCCACACGCGACTCGTTTCCCTCTGAATGAAAAAAAAAAACACAAAAAAAAACACGTGGCCGGTGTGTGGACCAGTGGCGCCCCCTGCTGCTCAGAGGCGGGCGTGGCACTCAGAGGTTCATCCAGGGACGCAAACTTTTTATTTTTCTACGGACGAAAACGCCTCAAAGAGCTGCTCGTTTTAGCGGTTTTAGGAAATGGAGTAAAGTTAGAAGTTAGTGTAAATGATCTCACGTATTTCCTGCACTTGTGCTGCTTTTGTTTGTAAGCATTTATTGTGACACGTTTGTTCCATGCTTTTATTTTGAAAGGCCGCTGTACAACCGGAAGCGGCCACGTGAGAGCGGATGTTTACCTCCCGGCTAAGTGTGTGCGGCTAACTGACTGTTAGCACAACGGAACATTTTATTTATAATCTATATTATTATATTTAGTATATTATATTTAGACCTGGTTTAGTCCTGGTTTAGACCTGGTTTAATCCTGGTTTAATCCTGGTTTAGTCCTGGTTTAGTCCTGGTTTAATCCTGGTTTAGTCCTGGTTTAGACCTGGTTTAGTCCTGGTTTAATCCTGGTTTAGACCTGGTTTAGTCCTGGCTTTGTCTTGGCTTTGTCTTGGTTTAGGCCTAGTTTAGTCCTGGTTTAATCCTGGTTTAGACCTGGTTTAGTCCTGGCTTTGTCTTGGTTTAGACCTGGTTTAGTCCTGGCTTTGTCTTGGTTTAGACCTGGTTTAGTCCTGATTTAGTCCTGGTTTAATCCTGGTTTAGTCCTGGTTTAGACCTGGTTTAGTCCTGGTTTAATCCTGGTTTAAACCTGGTTTAGTCCTGGCTTTGTCTTGGCTTTGTCTTGGTTTAGGCCTAGTTTAGTCCTGGTTTAATCCTGGTTTAGACCTGGTTTAGTCCTGGCTTTGTCTTGGTTTAGACCTGGTTTAGTCCTGGCTTTGTCTTGGTTTAGACCTGGTTTAGTCCTGATTTAGTCCTGGTTTAATACTGGTTTAGTCCTGGCTTTGTCTTGGTTTAGTCCTGGTTTAATCCTGGTTTAGTCCTGATTTAGTCCTGGCTTTGTCTTGGTTTAGACCTGGTTTAGTCCTGGTTTAATACTGGTTTAGTCCTGGCTTTGTCTTGGTTTAGACCTGGTTTAGTCCTTATTTAGTCCTGGTTTAGTCCTGATTTAGTCCTGGTTTAGACCTGGTTTAGACCTGGTTGGGCTCGTCCCGGATGCGGGAGTTTGATTAGTTGAACATCTGCAGGAAGGAAACGAAAACATCAACAACGGAACAGAACCTTTTTTTTTTTTTTTTTTAGTATTTCTGTGACTTTTGTTTTGGAATGTTAATATATTTATCATTTTAAATTCAGCATCAAGTTTGTCATTATTTTAAATACAGTGGAATATTTTGATAAAAGTTCAGTTTTTGGAGGATATGTGTAGTTCCCACTTTTGTCCACATGAGGGCACACAAGGGCTGCAAACAAAGCAAACATAAAACAAAACAAAAAAACTACGACAACAATGTAATCTAATTATTTATTTATTACAAATTGTCTTTTCCCATTATACAAAAATTTAAAAATTTATTCATCTATTTATTCTTCTCGGCAAATACCACATACACAGAGCAAACTTCTCAAGAACAAAACCTTATTTTCCACGACTACTAATAGAAATAAATTATTACTTTCAGTCGATCCAAAAAGGAAACTATAATAACCAACATCTACAGAGAATTAATTCATAGTCAGCTAAATCTTCTCCTCATCCTTCAATTCAGTTGCTGATTCCTCTTTCATTTCAGTTAGTTTCTCTTATTCGGTTTGATTTACTGTCATATGTTAAGTTTTGTTTACATTCTTTCTGTTTTGTTTTTTTCAATGAATCTGAATGTCTGCGTTGTGTGTGTAGTGTATATATGTGTAAATTAATAATAAAAAAAAAACAACTTGTTGCCCATTCATGTTAAATTAAATAACCTAGACTGCATTCCCAGCTCTGTACTTTTATTACCAAATTATTATTTTTTTTAAATTCAGGGACAGCTTCTTTCCCAAAGCTGTCACCAAACTGAACTCATCTTTACACTTTTGTTTTTTTTGTCAACTGGGGCAGGACTGTACAAGTTTTTTAAAGTTCATCCTCCTCCTTTTGAGCACCAGGTCACAAATATGTTCATGTATATATCACTATTTTTGTTGTTGTTTTTTAATTTTGTTGTACCTGCTCAAACAAATAAATAAATGCAATAAAATGTTGTACTTTGACGGAGCAGCGCTGCATCTCATTATACTGTATAAACAGTGTTGTGGAGTAACAGATTACATGTACCGGAGTTATGTAATCAGAGTACAAATGATGAGTAACTGTATTCAGTTACAGTTACTGTTTCAGTGAGTGGTAATTGGATTACAGTTACTTTGTTGAAATAAATGGATTACACGGCGGGATTTACTTGTTTTTACATTTCGGGCTATATCCCTTTTTTTTCCCCCGGTAATTCCACTCATTGCCGGACACTGAACCAGGTCTAAACCACGTCTGAACCTGGTCTAAAACAGGTCTAAACCCAGGTCTAAACCCAGGTCTAAAACAGGATTTAACAGGACTAAACCATGCTGCATGGACCGTGTCTCCTCTTCTTCTAACAATAATACTTTTTATTTGGTTAAGTAAAGTCTGTTTTGTTTTGTTTTTTCTTTTATCAACAAACAAAACATCTTATGTTACAATATCCTAGTCAAGTAATCCAAAGTATTCAGATAACTTTTGCGCTGTATGGACTGAACCAGGACTAAACCAGAGCTAAACCAGGACTAAACCAGAACTGAACTAGGACTAAACCAGGACTCACTGTCAGGACGGGCTCGAAGGTGACCGCAGAAAGGAGCGGCTCTGCTCCGCACCTCACGGAGGTAAGAGCGACTGTCGCCCGATCGCTCTTTATGGACCCTGCTGCTCCGGCTCACGGTCCTGATTTCAACAACTATTTGCCGGTACCAGACCCGGTGCAAGACTCTGCTACAGCGTGTAACTTCTACCTTCCTTCAGCGTGTCCAGAAGTCCAACTTTTTGTGTGATGGTTTGATCTTCCTCTGTCTTTTAGGTGCGAGCGCAGGAGCCTTTGTCGGTGCAGAACGTTTCGTCGACGTTGTGGGTTTCGTCGGGGAGAAAACTTGCAACCGTACAGCACTTCACAATCACACTGATACAGATTGAACATGTATTTGGCAGCTGAACACATTCTGTACTGTACAGGAGGCAGGAGTCCCTTGACCAGTCAGGACGCAGCGGGAGGAACACAATACGCATTCATACAATGTAAAAAAAAAAAAGGGCATGCAAAATTGCACACACACACAAAAAAATAAAATAAAATAAAATAAAAAAATCTGCGAAACAGCGAGACCGCGAAAAGTGAACTGCGATAGAGGGAGGGACGAGTGTAAACCAGGTCTAAACCAAAACTGACCCAGGTCTAAACCAGGTCTAAACAGCGTGGAGTTCTTTGTCGGTCCTTTCGCCCGCGGTCACCTGAAGGTCTACGAGGAGCATCTCCGGCGTTTCACCGCTGCTGATATCGAGGTGATTTTAGCGAATTTGTATGAAGAAAAACCCACCACTTCAATCCAGGTTAAAAAAAACATTGTAACGTGCGTTACTCACATTTGTACCGAGTAAAATATTAAAATTTTCCCCCCTGTAATGCCACATTACTGCGTTACAGCAAAAAGTAATGCATTACTGTAATTCGTTACTTTTATAACGCGTTACTCCCAACACTGCTCACTTTAAGTAATTTGATGGATTCTGTTACAAACTACATTTTGGGGTATGTAATCTGTAATCTGTAGGGGATTACATTTTAACACTGTGTATAAGGACAATAAAGGCTTTTTATTCTATTCTATAGTTCAATCTTATTTTGAAAGGTCGCTGTACAGACAGAGGAAGAGGAAGTGACAACCAGCACAACGGAAAGTTATCTGTTTAGTTTAATCTAAAAGTAGTTCAAAGTTTATTAAGTTAATAGAAATATATGGTCCATCGCTGCTTAGCACCCGGTTGATGAGGGAACAAGGTTCGTATGGAATTTCATTTCATTTCTTTATTTGTTTGAGCAGGTACAACAAAATTCAAAAACAATAACAAAAATAGTGACATATACATGACATGGATAATACTAAATAATAAACTACATGAAAGTACCGACCACATCTTGAAAATTCTTGTTTGTTTTCTTCAAATTGTCTGTTGAGCCCAAGTCTCCATGAACAGACTTTTGTTTTACTGTAAAGTAGCAAAGACGAGGATCTGAACATATCTGCTTAAAGACAATACAAATTCCAGTGTTTCCTTAACCTTATTAAAAATATTATTGATAAAGAAATGCTTTTTATATGAGGTCACTGCTGTCTGAAATGATGTCCACCCTAATGTTAGGTATCATATTGTTCAGATCTGGTTTAGTCCTGGTTTGGTCCTGGTTTTAATCTTGGCTTTAGTCCTAGTTTAATCCTGATTTAGACCTGGTTTAGTCCTAGATTTAATCCTGGTTTTAGTCCTGGTTTAGCCCAAAATGTGAAAACAGGAAAATACCGTCCTGTAATCCATTTATTTCAACAAAGTAACTGTAATCCAATTACCACTCACAGAAACAGTAACTGTAACTGAATACAGTTACTCATAATTTGTACTCTGATTACGTAACTCAGGTACATGTAATCTGTTACTCCCCAACACTGACAGTATGACACAATAAGATGAGGAATGGATAGTTACAGATTTTAATAAACCGGTTTATGTATAAAGGATGTGACAACTGAGATCGGTGTTGGATTGTTCTGGACCCTTTTCATTGACTGGAAAAATAAGTGGGAGGAGTTCATTATCATATGTCAAATTGTTGTTATTTGACGCATCAAATAAGAACGTAACAAATACACTAATAACACGCGTCAAATGCGGTGTTAACGCGTTAAAAATGGGCGTAAATGTGAACAGTTTGACTTGCCGTAGGTGCTCACGTTT